AATAATAATGTAACTAATAATGTAAATGTGTCCTTTATGTCCCGTTTCTCAGGTTCCCTCTATCTTATTATAACTAATACTAATAATAATGTAACTAATAATGTAAATGTGTCCTTTATGTCCCGTTTCTCAGGTTCCCTCTGAGTAAACCCCAGCTTGCCAGCAAATGGGTGCAGAGCCTGGGGATGAAAAACTTCATCCCCACGGCCAACACCTGCCTCTGTTCGGAGCATTTCCGGACCGACTGTTTCCGGGATTATAACGGGAAGCAGTTCCTAAGGGAGGACGCAGTTCCCACCATATTTTCTCAAGGCCCGGACTCCTCTAAGGTGGGAATTCGCAGCCCGTCGGGTTTCCTCTCCACCGGCTGTTTTTTTTTTTTTTTTATCATTTAACTTTTTATTAGTTTTTCCCATTTTTGCTTACATATACAATATACATGAACACTTTACAATCAACATAACATAACAAAACTTTGGCTTGGGAGCTGTTCCTCTATTTGACCTTAGTTCCATCTAGTTTGTCTAGTTCTTTATTTCTTGTCGCTGACTTTTGTCTTGAATATTGTCCATTTCTTCCACTTCTCATCCATTTGTGTTTGCTGTAGTCTCAAACGATGTGTCAGTTTTTCCATCATGTAGATTTCTTCTATTATTCCAGTCCATTGTTCTTGACAAGGGGGATCCGCCTTTCCCCATTTCCTCGTAATAGCTTTCTTGCTAGCTATTAACAGTATCTTAATCAGATACCTGTCTTTTGCCCTTACTTTAATATTATTAAAATTGCAAAAATATAGTACCACACTACTCATAGGGATATCATATCCCAGAACCTTCTCCACTGTTACATGAACATTTTTCCAGAATTGGACAATGATAGGACAGTTCCAGAATATGTGAGAATGATCAGCATTCATTGATCCACAGTTCCTCCAACACCCCATGTTTGTGCCCTTGTACCTATTCTGGACTTTAGGCGTGATGAAAAATCGTATTAGATTTTTCCATGAGAATTCCGTTCCACCGGCTGTTTTTTGGTCTGATCGAGTCTGATCTTGTTTCACAGCTTCAGATTGAGCTGCGTAAGAGGGGGGTCATTCCAAAGGAGACGAATGTGGCCGGTCAGGTTTCCACGCAGGCGGACAGAGAAAGAGCCCGGGAGGCCGCCCTGCGCCGGGGGGACAAGAGGGGAGGATTCAGGGTGAGTTCTTAACCCTATAATGCCAAATGTGTCATATCTTTTTTTTTTTTTTTTTTT